ACACACACTCATTCACTCAACCGACTCAATACTGAATAAGTGAGTGACTGACTCACACAAGCTGCCACATTACAGCTCTCACACATACACAGGATATTTCACTCAGCAGCACGTACTCCTCCCCACCCTCACACACATACTCACATACACACACATGGGAAACATCTGCCATCAAGAGTGAGTGAACAGGGCTCACAGCAAACCACAGGTGAGCTGTGTGGCAGAGAGAGAAGATGTGACAGACAGAATGTACAGGCAACAGAAACGACGGCCATACCTCTGATCAGCTTGTTTTTTTTAACGCAGGCGGTTATGTTTTGTTCCCTCTATTTGTCCAGAACATACTGTTTCCCCCCGAGAGACAAAATAGAAACTCAAGCGAGGGAAAGAGATGGAATAGGAGAGTAGTAGAATGAATACAGGATGTCGGTGGGGGCGTACGTCCTTCTGGTTAATGGAACATTCATTTGGTCCGTCACGTTTTCCTGCAGCAGGATTGTTTATTACAGAAAGAATCTGTTTGTCAGGGAAACACCAGCCGAGCCATCTCCGCCATGTATTCTGCTCATATACTGTGTGATTTCCTCTGCAAGGTGTTGTTGTCCCTGTCCTTATGACTTTTTGTTTGCTTCACAGTAGAGACATTACATTCTAACTTTCTCCGTCCGTGCAATTTTCTCTCTTTCTGTATGTGTGTGTGTGTCCAGACATTGGGAGCTGGCTGCAACTATTTGGCTTCCAGCTTCATAATGTTGTCCCAGGCTTCCCGAAGCCTGAAGTGGGCCAAATGGAACAAACATACGAACTGATGAAGACCCAGACCAAGACACAGAACTGGGACTCCAGCAAAGTGAGCTTTCCACCACATCAAACCCCAGTCAACTGGCTCTTTTCAAGTTCTAATCGTGTCCCCGTGTTCATTTTCTGTTTTTTTCTTTATATATATATATTTATTCATTTTATTCCGTGGTATAAGCCGAATATATGCAGAAAAAAATGTATCCTTCTCTTTTCTCTTTCTGAACAACAGTATTTTTGATGATTCATTTTGAACTTGGGGTCGTATAAATACTGAAAACGTATCCAGTCAGAAATGACTTCAGTTACTGGCTAACCCCACCCATCACACAGAAATCACACTTGACCGCTGAGCTTACGAGTCGTTGTAACCAGCAGAGCAGTATCGTTAGCTAGCCTTAGCTGAGAGGCTGAGGCATATGATTTGCTGAAAGGTGAGGGAGCGATGACAACTCCCCTGTCATTAGATAAAAAGTGACGTGAAATCAAAGTGCCAATGGAAAAAATTACATTGTTAAATAAAAACTGAGTTATGAGAAGGAAAGCATTGGAAATAAAAATCTTGGTTAATATTAAAGAAACAGTGATGAAATAATGCTCTTTTTTTTTTTTTTACATTGATAGGATAATCTATGTATTAATTTCTTCATATGATTTATGATTATATATATATGTGTGTGTGTGTGTGTGTGTGTAATTCATAAATTTCATTTATGTGGGTCCTCTACAAACTGTAAAGTTGCTCTAACTGCCATTTCTAGCGGCTTCCTATGGGCACTATGGCTGAAATCATGTTAATAATAAGAATGTTTTCCAATATCTGTATGAGTGTTGAAATGATTAGTCAACTAACCATAGCATTAGTCAATAGATGATGATTCATGATTACTACATTGCAGTCAACATTAACTGGTTCCAGCTTCTTTTATGCATTTCACATCATTATAAACTGAATATCTTCAAGGAATGGACTGTTGGTGAAAGAAAAAACAATAGTCAGATTAATCAGTTGTGATGCACAACAAATGTGTGTATGCTGTGTAAAATGAATTAATGTTCAGTGCAATTAACTGTTAACCACAATTATGCATTATATATGGGACAAGCTCTTCCGATATCAAAGACCGTAACTTCATTAATTTGATTTTTGTGTTTTCAACAGACAATATGATAATTTCATCACAGGTCTAAGTAATAATATTGATTATGGGTAAATTCAAAATAAAGTTTGCCGCTTTCAAGACCCTGCTATAGGCCTTTTTCACAGCAGACATATTGAGTTGTCATAGTAGGAAAAGCACAGGTTAAATAACATTAACACTGGCTCCGTTCTACTCAAGTGTCAGTGAGGCAGCATTGAACATCAATAAGACCCTGAAACTGATGCAGCTAAATGGAATTCAGTCATCATCAGTTTTATTATTTACACCAGTGCTTCTAATGTGACATGTCAAAATGTCGAAACAATCTATTATTACAGATGAGCCTCTGACTTTACGTTATCAATCAGACCTTTGTTATTAACCAGTTGTACTTTTTTCCCAGGTGGTTTTGGGGATCCAGTGTGAGCTGCGGAGACAGCTGAGGAGTTTCATCTCTCTGGAGAGGTTACCACTAGTCTCAGAGCCTGTCGGCTCAACTTGCCACAGACCGACACGCCCTCCTCCCTTCGGCTCCCGACCCTCTCTTCTCGGCCCAAGCATCCGGTTTGCCGTCTCCCACGGCCGTGTCACTGCTGAAGTCATCGGCGTAGCCAGCGAGGACAGCCGCCGCGTGGCAGCCATTCTAAACGGTGCTGTCCACCTGAGCGGGCTGAGCTTCACCGTGCGCGGCTGTGACACCCATCACTTCCTCCAGTCCCGGCCAATCGAGGAAGACCTCGCTCTGGGGCTGGGAGTCGGGGGGCGCATCCTAGAGACCGGGGTGAACGTGAGTGTGTCTCAGATGAGCGCCATGGTGAGCGGCAGGACTCGACGATTCGCTGATATCACTCTTCAGCAGGGGGCGCTGTGCTTGTGCGTGCGCTACGGGGGAAGCGAGGAGGAGGAGAGGGCACGGGTGAGGGAGGAGGCGAGAAAGAGAGCGGTGGAGGGTGCGTGGGAGAAGGAGAGGAAGAGGGTGGATTTAGGGGACGCAGGGAGCAGGGAGTGGAGCGAAGCGGAGAAGCAGCAGCTGCTGTCCGGAGGACTCGTTCAGGGCTACGACGGCTACTACTCCCTGCCTATAGAGCAGCAGCCGGAGCTGTCCGACTGCCCCTCCAACATCCACTTTATGACACTAAGCGAGGTGGGGGGCAGGTAACAGAGACACACGAGCAGCCCCCCACCCCACCAAAGACTGCCTGTTTCTACTCTACTCTGATTTGTTCTACTGTTTCTATACTGTATCAAAAAAAAAGAAGACGACGACAAAGAAGAACAAGAAGAGAGATTGGGGAAAAATGATTTCCAAATGCCTTTAATTGTGACAAAATGATGGTATTTTATTATTATCGTCCAGTTTCTCCGATTTCTAACAGTGGCACAAGCAGTGTGGTTTGGCTGTGGCTTTGCTTTTTGTAACCCGACTGGCCTGGGACTGACCGACTGACAGACTGACTCACTGACCGACTGATGGACTGACAGTCTGTCATTTGCTGTTTCAACACTGTTCATCATTTTGGACTCTCCGTTTGAATTCACTGAACTGTAGACATGAAGATTGCCAGTGAATGATCCTAATCATGATTCGAATCAAGAGCTCTCCGGTTGCCATTTGAGTTCCTACATGGTTTACCTCGGATATACTATCGTTTACATATTGTGTAAGAGAGGCCTTGTCGACTCTGACACTCCCCTTTAGAGAAGGAAACCTCTGGTTTTCTGCCTCTGGTGTGCTCCAACAGTAGTTTGTATGAGTGTATACTAAAATCAAGAATGTACATAGCCAGTGCTTTCACACTGAAAAAAGTGCTCAACTGGATATTCTGTTGTTCATAAGTAAGTGTCGGTATTGTTAATCAATAGAAAAACAGTTACATTTTTGCAAAGAATTATACATGGCTATAGTAAATATTCTCGCTGAAAAATCTGACTTTATTGGGTTACAATGCTGATTAAAGTAATTATGTGTGAATTACCAGATTGCTCCCTGGGATTTTATAGGCATCGTTGCTTATTATTTCTCTGTGTGTCTGCTCTCTTCGTCTCTGCGCCTTCCCTCCGCACATTTGTCGCACGCTCTTTGTTCTTGTTTCTGGGAGTTTGTAACTTTCAAATCTGTGCTGTCATTATCACCCATCATTATAGCTCGAACTGAGATATGCATGAGAAACCTGCGTCTGTTGGAAGAGAAGAAGAAGAAGAAAAAAAGGAGGAGGAGGAGAAAGTTAAAAAAAAGGGGGGGCACAGAGGAAGGGAAAAAGAAATGTGACAGCTGAGGCTCAGCGAGTGGGTGGTGAGTGCAGAAGGGGCAGGACCTGGAGTTGGCTGTGCTGTTCTCTACAGCTTGTCTCCTCTCATTAGGAAATGCCAATCAGACTACATGTGAACCACTTCCAAGCGCTGCCAACCCCCCCCCCCCCTCCCCCCAAAAAAAAGTTTAAAAAGAAAGTCAAAAAGTTTGTTTGTTTTTCTTCTTCTTTTTCTTTTTTTTTTTTTTAAATCTAGCTACCACTAATCCACCTCCCCGTCCGTCTGCCTATCCCCCCCTCGCCTCCCTCCCACAGTCACTCCACCATCTGCCCACCATTAATTGTTTGTGTTTCTCTCCTGGGCTGCGGATGACAGAGCCACACAATACATATGTTGTGACTGCGAGCAGGTGATATACGTTCCTGACTAGCACTTTGCTGATCGGCTGTGATGCACCTTCCCTTCTAAACCATATGCTCCACGAGATACTGTCCAACCTCATCTCTGTGGCGAAAAAGATGGAGGGTCCGGTTGCTAGGAGACCGCTGCACTGAAGAATTGTCTGGGCTGAATGGATGTGCTCCTTGTATCTGTCCCTCTCTCTCTCTTTTTTTTTTTTTCATGTGGAGCCAGTGATGTCAATCAGATGAATGAACCCCCCCCCCCCCCCCCCCCCCCCACCCAGTCAGCATTCTCTCCATGGAAATCAGTACTTCAATATGTCAAATCGAATTTTTGTTCCACATTATGTGTCAGGCGTCGCCCGGGTGTGTATGGCTGTGTATGCGTGACCTCATTTAAAAGAGTTTATTTCAACCAATATCATTTATTTTCTTCGCCATTCACATAACTAAATTGCATTAAGAAAACAGGGAACAATATTTGTTGTCAACTTCTGTATGCAGTAATGGATATTAATGTTTCAGCAGTTGAATATTTTACATCACATCCCTGAAAGTTATGAGGCACTTTGCGTGCAGCATATGCAGAGAAGGGAAAAAAGAGATACTGGAATGATACTGAGAAATGAGTCACTGTTATTTGACATAAAGGAGTTGCTTAATTGGGGTGAGAAATGACATTAGCTTCACACACAGCATGCAAAATGTAACAGTAGAAATCTTGCAAAGGCCGTATTTATGTTTGGTAATGGTAAGCTTAGGGTTTCCCCCTAACCAAAAGCTTGGCGCACCTCCGTCTTGTTTCTGGTTTTCTGTTCCTGAGCAGCATGCGGTGGCCGCTGCTGGAGGTAAGCGTTTGGGATGCTGTTTGTCGGTGACAGGCTATTACCGGGCATCTGTGCCTCTGTGTGTGTGTGTGCCCGTCGCTGAGCTGTGACAGGGTAGAGCAGAGGCATGGCAATTCCTTGTCCTGGCTTTTGGAAAGCTGCTATCAAGTTCCTGATTTTCCGGAAATATCGTTTCTGCACACCAGGACTGGTCTGAAACACAAGAAGAAGAAGGGCAGATTAGAATTCAGCTTCTCCGTCTCAATCTCCACATCAAACCCCACGGGGAAATGAAGAGGACAAGGCAGGGCCGAGCTTGAAATGAGCTCTCACAGATATACCTTATAAAAGACATCAGATACGCTAAAAGTAGAGGCAGAAATACTGTGCATTGTGCAGAAGGGATGGGCTGGGAATCATATCATTATATTTTTATTTACCTGGTCTACTTGTATTTAAGAAAATAAAAGGACACAACAATAAAACAATTGCTCCTCTAGAAGGATGGGAAATATCCATCCACCGCTTATCCTGCGTACAGGGAGGCAGGAGCCAATCCCAGCTGACATCGGGTGAAAAGCGAGATAGCCTACACCCTGGACAGGGTGTACAGGGCCACACATAGACAAACAACCATATACACACATGCTCACACCTAAGGACAATTTAGGGTCACCAATCAACCTAGTCCGCTGGACGGTGGGAGGAATCCGGAGCACCTGGAGAGAATCATGACATAGGAGAACATGCAAACTCCCCACAGAAAGGCCGGGGGAACCAGAGGTTGAACCCGCGACCTTCTTGCGAATGCTATCCGCCAGTACGCCATGCCGCCTACATGGGAAATATACTCGAGCTAAATTAGGAAATTTCTGGTTGCATTTGCCTCTGAAAGCATTTGCTCCCCTGGTCCTTTTTATATTTTGTTAGTCAACAAAAAGCATTTATTTTAGGATTTAAGTGTGACATATAAGATGCCTTAAAGTGTCCAATTCTCTCAACTGCTTTCTTTGTAACTGATTAAAGGTGAAGTAACACAAAGAAAATGATCTGTGGCTCAAATGAAAAATTAAATAAGTTGTTCACAATATATCTTCTGTTGCAACAAAGGTTTCATTTTGAAGTTTGAAATTCAGCTTCCTCAAAGACTCCCCAGAGGGTGTTGCATTATTATTTAATTTTTAATCAATTCTCCACTTTGCCAAAACTGTCAGTTTAATATCTCTAAACCATAAAGCATTAAACCTTTCAAAGTATTATAATTTTGTCAAGCTAGGACTTTAAAAAAAAAAAGAAGCATTATTTGTTTCCATTCTGTGCAATCAATCATGCTGTAAGAAACAGCAGGAATCTTGTTCTTTGAATGCATTTTAAAATCATTTAATCAAACGTGGAGAGCACTTTCTGCAGTAAAGCACTTTGGGTGTTTCTGTCTCCGGCCACAAGTGTTACCTCTGTTCCCCAGCAAATTTCATTAAAGTGATTGATATTGCACATGAATAATGTAAACTGTTACTGAGCTTGTAGTGAAATTCGTGTAATTCAACTCCTCTCCCCCTATCTCCTCGCTTGATGCTGTCAGTAAAAATGAGGGAAGGTAAAATGTAGTTACAACAGCATCCAGCTTAGTTGTCAGAGAGAGACACAGCCGTCAGATGTCTCTATACATTCACATCTCTTGGTGTTTGCCAGCCCTCAGTGCTCAATTACATATCCCATCACAAATGCTGTCAAATGCAATTCTGTGTTTCCCATCTCTGGAGTGTATGCTGATGCTGTGGCATCTTAAATTTGAGGTGAGGAGGTGAGGTATCTCACAGGGTGTTGCAAAAGGAAAAGAAATGCACCCATTTCCTTCCAAAAAAAAAGAACCCTCCATGTTTGCCTTAAGTTCACATCTTGCTGAATTAGACTGCCACCAAAAACAACAAGCAAAGAACTAATAGCCTTAACACCAGCCACCAACAAGATGATTTTTGCTGGCTCTGTCAAGTTTTAGGATGTGAAAAGAGTCAGCGCAGAATAAGCCCAAGAAATAAGATAAAAATGTCTCACTTCTGCTGCCCATGAACCTGCGTCGTCCTTGTGGAGCCTGTATGTGTAGACGTATCCGTTGCTCCTGCACACACACAGAAAGAACTTTGACCCTGGGTTCATCTTTCAGTTTAATGTAATATTTTCCCCTGCTGTCACCATTATTGCTCCTGTGGGGTTTCACACTTTATAATAGGCCACAAAAATGTATTTTTGTTTCAGTTAATACTCAGTCGCTTTTATTTTCTTAGATGTCAGGAGGAATTATCTATAATAGTACAAAATATGTTTATGTGTTTACTGAGGTCTCAGTGACAGCTTAAAAAAGAAGGAAAATAAGAGATCTTGCACAATCTGTGTTTATACTCACAGCACACACAGGCAGTAAACACCCTCCACAGAGTCACTGTTGCGGACTAGGTAGCACCCATCCCGCCCGTCCTGGGCCAGCCGCCTCTCACCTTCTTCTTTGCCAATGGGTCCGTGGTAGACGGGCAGGTTTTCCATCACGGCTCCTCTCCAGATCTGCTTTTTGTTCTGTTCCCGAGTGCCAACTCTTTCTCTCTCTCTCTCTTTGCTCACCTTCAACTTTTTACTGCAGACAAGCCTTGTAGTCTTCACTGAATAAGCTCTAGACTGGGAACACAACTAAGGCAGCAGTCCAGCCTCTCATTTGATATTCGGCTCTCGCTGTTTCAAATGTTTGTTAGGGAGCCTGAGTGTTGGCAAGCCAGCTTTCACATTTTCCAGTTTCTCTACCAGACCCAGACTGAGCAGCTCTCTCTAACCTCTAACCTTTATGTCATACTCAGCCTTCCTCTTTCACTGTAAGACACGCTCATGTGCGAGCACGCACACGCACGTAAAATGTGGGTTTGTGTATCTCTCAGGAAATGATTGTATTTTTCAACAGGAAATAACTTCAAAGATTCTAACTGAATCTTTCCACAATAGAAAGCACCAGATGGATAAAAAAGCATTATCACCCTTTTCAAACAGAAAAACACATATTTTACTAATGCAGTGACGTAGACTGTTTCCAGCTCAATTATCTAGAAGGCTGGCTTTGGTTCGTTATTAACAGAAGTTTACTTACACCGTCTGTTTCTGACACAGGTATGATGCAAAATTTTGCGGCAGAAGAAGTACCAGTACATTTATGTGAAATACTCACAGTACTCACTCTGCAGTAAAATGGTGTCTGTGAATGGTAAATTATTATACGTAAAATTATTAGCTTGTTAATACTGATGCATCAATCTGTAAGCAACATTTTATTGTTGTACTTGAGGTGGAGCTGGTTTACTTTGTTTACAGGTAGGTATTATTTGGTTATATTGGTATATTTTATACCAACAATAATTTCAATTAAACAATGTGAGAAGTTTTGCTGGAACAAGGGGCCCCAACTAGGTCCTGCCTTTACTGTAAGACAAAAATATTGAGAACCACTGCTTAAATTTTCACCTATGCATTGTATATAATACATTTTTATTATGTTTTTTTACGTACAGTCTTAAGTAACTAGTCACCGCACTACAGCTGTTAAAAAGATGTTGTGGAGTGGAAGTATAAAGTGCCACAATTTTACTCAAATACAACACTTGAGTAAATGTACTTTCCAAAGATTTGATCAAATATCAGCAATATTTCTTAATTCTCTTCTTAAATTCGTAATTAACTAAAAGACTAATTTACACTGGGGCCTACTGACAGGAGAGCTGCTGTTTAAAGACCTCCCTATGTATATGTCTCAGTTTACATTTTCTCATCATATGTCCACACTGTAGTAAAACACATGTTCTCAGTCACATGTCACAGATCTGTCATCTATTAAACATGTGTCAACAAAGATATTCACACCTGCTCTGTAAAATAGTGAGGAATTGGCTAATGATGCGGTGTACATGAACATACTGTGGAGCTGCAACAAACTCATCCTGCAATCTGTCCTGTCAGTCGGAAAGTTCTGTTGTGTCAAATTAAGGATCTGGTGATTAAAAAAATTTAATGTCTGCAGCAGTGACATGCCATTCACATTTTACCAAGCTTGATATTTTATGCTCATGTCTCATGTAGAAATATTATTTTGGTTTTGGTGCTGTTCATTCACACCGCGGTCACGACTTCATGTATTCCTTCAGACTACCAGATGCCCCTGCAAAAGCACCCTCAAAAAGGCCAACCTCATGAGTGTACCATTCAGTATATTCTTTAAGCTGGAAGCTCTCTTTAATGCAGCATTTGTTGAGGATTTCTGTTTTTATACATTCAGAACAGAAGCCTACATGAGTCATCAGTCTGTGTCAGAGCCATCTTTCTCTTGCCTCAGAAAGATCATGAGCGGTGGGACTTGGGGGATCTGTCTGGGTAAGCAGCCATTGCCATCTTGTTCACTGCTTCTGCATCACTTTAGCGCCATCCAGTGGCAAACTTTGCAAGATTAAGAAGGAATGATTCACTGCAAGAAGGCTAACCATAAGTCTGGATGCCTTTTCAGGATGTTTTTATGGGGGCCATATAAATCTGTAAAATATATATTTTATATATTAAAAAAGCACAAACACTTCACCATTGTCCACTCAACATTCATTTGTATAATAATCCCACAGCCTTCACAAATGCAAAAAAAAAAAATAATTACACCATACTCCATTGGCTCTCAGCTCACAGAAAGGCAGGCCAGGGTCAATGCAGAATGCAGTGGATCTATACTGAACACAAATAGCAGACAGAGATACATCATTGATTAGCTAGCGGCTCCCTCAACCAACACAACTGGCTGGACTGGAATGCATCACAAGGACATTAGTATGAGATTCTGATATCTGGCCTTGATATGTACGGAATCCATGTGAAACATTGTGGGAGGGGAGAAAGAGGGGATGAATGTCCGTCTGCCAGGCTGATAGTAATCCCAGCACTCTCATTCCCTCAGTCACAGCTGTTGGAGGGTAAGATTGGGGAAAAGGAATACATTTTTTTTATATGAAATCAGTTTGACAAAATCAGTGGGTGTGTCTGTAGAATTGGACTAATATGAACCTGACAACCTCCCATTTTAGTAGAACCCCCCCCCCCCACACACACACACACACTAATTTGGAGAATTATATCAAATAAAGAAGTGTCATTTATTCTTATTCAGTCAAAATAAAGCAGTACTTTTCATTTTCCTAAACTGTCTTTACAGAATAATACAATACAAGTGTTACAAGTTACATGATTACATATAGCCTATCATAAATTGGTCCCAGCAGTAAAAGCAGCATTATGTTTAATAATTGTCCTCAAACATCTGTATCTCAATAATCATTTGGCCTGTTCTGTACAAAGCCAAAAATGCAGCAACTGTGCATTTAGTTGAAATACAGCAGAATCTGACTTTTTGATATTAGTTTTACCATAATAATAATTTTACCATGTCATAGTTTGCAAAACTACAGAGCTTAAAAGCAGTTCCTTAAATTAAAGCTAGCTGGTGGTGAGATAGCTACATTTAGTTTTATATTTTTTTAATTCTGGCTCTTTAGCTACTAAATGCTCCACTATGTTCACATTTTGGTGCTGTGCAGGTAGTCTACAGTGGATTTCTATAGCTTTTTCACTGAAAACAGCTTCCTGCTGCATCATTGCAGGCATTAGCTTTATAATTCATCTGTTTGTTACATAGTTTGGCTAACCAATCTCAAAACCTAAAACCTTTAGCTTCCTCTTTTCTTTAATTAGTTTTCTCAGTCTTTGTAGGGCAGCACTGAGCTCTGCCGGAATTTGACTCAATACTTAAGTATATAATGAGTCAATTATAGTAACAGCTCAGTCCCACACATCCATGCTTATTGAAGTTCAGCAGTCACTTAACGCTGGCGCAACTCTCTGGGGTGTGAAGCCAGTGGAGGGAAGGGAAAATCTCCCTGCCAGTTAGACAGGACCAGAGGGCTCCACAATCGCCAGGTCTTTCAGGTCACTGAGTTTTCGGGAGAAGGAGCTCAGCCTGGTGCTGAAGGAGCCCGTCTTCTGGCTGTGATCTTCCCCACGGGCCTTTAAACAAGCACACAGGCCCTTGCAGAGGCCCCCGAGATGACCCCGGAAATGGTTTCCAATGAAGCAGTAGAGCACAGGGTTGATGGCTGAGTTGGAGAAGCCCAAGCAGAGGGTGAGAGGGGTGAGGTTGTGGATGGTCCAGTTAATCCAGCAGCTGTCCAACCAGCCCTTACTATTCAGCACGTCCAAGAACGTCACGCAGTGGAAGGGGAACCAGCAGAGGAAGAAGGACAGGACCACAGCAGCTACTGTCCACAACACCCTCTCCAGCCCCCTGCCCTCCAGGGTTCTGCCCCCACAGGAGCTGGGGCTCACACAGGGCATTGGGGGTCTCTCTGGTTTACTGCTCTCCAGTGATTTAAAAGAGTTCATGTTGGGGGGGTGCGGCAGATTCTGCATTCTTACCAGCCCTGTATCAGCCAACAAATGTTTACCAATAGAGTAGTAGCAACAAGAGATGACAAGCAAGGGCAGCAGGAAGGCCAGAACAATCTTCATCCAGGCCAGGGTCAGATACCAGGTATGATTAGGATAAGAAATCACACAGGCCTCCACTCCAAGCCCCTTGAGGAGGTGAGTGTCCCTCAGATAAAAGGTGGGGGCTGAGCAAGCACACGCCAGGACCCACACCAGGATGCACGTGAGCCGGGCACGTTTGGGGTCTCGTGCGCTCTGGGAGTGGAGTGGGCGCACGATGGCCAGGTAGCGGTCCATGCTCATGCTCGTGATGAAGAAGATGGACGCGTAGAGGTTGAGGTTGAGGAGAGCTCCGCAGACTTTGCAGGCAACCCAGCCAAAGGGCCAGCTGTAGCCCTGGGAGTAGTAGACGGCCCACAGCGGGAGAGACAGCAGGAACAGCAGGTCAGACACACACAGGTTCAGCATGAAAGTGTTTGCCACAGTTCTCCTTGAGGCATTGGAATGGGCCAACACACACACAGCCAGGGCGTTGGCTACGATTCCAAGCACACAGATGACGCTGTAGATGGTGGGGATGACTGTGGTCATGGATACAGGAGGCCAGTCAGTGCACGGGGGAGCAGAGGGGGCTAGAGAGGTGTTCAGATAGATCTCTGTTTTTGAATGGGGGGAGGAGGTGGAGTTGAAAAGGGAGAGGTCATTTGGAATTGCCATTATAGTACTGGATGTACCCTTGCGTCACACAGTTTCCTGGGTCAGCTGAAAATAAAAGAAAAAAGAAGAGCATTTCAAATTCCTTTTATGGACAAAAACGTTTTCCTACACAGCAATCTTTAGTCGGCTCATGTTTTTATTAGCAGTCCTACTTGATAACTAATAACAGCAAAAATATATTTCACCATTCTTGAAGTTGTGAAGTAATGAAATACATATAAAGCTGTTGTAATAATCTGGCTGATTAATGGATTCCTCAGAATCTATTTTGGATTAATGACTGAAATGTGTTTTTGAAACATTCATGATTTAGATGGAAAAAAAGTGTCAACTTAATTTTGGATTGAATAGTTTTTGCATGGATCTGGTGCACCAGGGGAACACATTATTAATAACAGAAATAACGACAAACATAATTTAAAGAAAGCAATCAGTAATATATGGGAAATGACATCTTCATCATCTTACATCATCAATAACTTTTTTACAATACAAAAAATCCCTGGTAATTATGCTAAGACAGTTGAATAAGTGAAAGAAACTAGAAGATGTATCATCAAATTAAATTAAAACTGAGATATTATCAAATCAAACCAGACTATATATATTATTACTACCTATT